TAGTAACTGGTGATGACAGCAATGGACTAACTGTAGTACCTGATGAGGACAGTGTTGGACTAGCTGTAGTACCTGGTGAGGACAGTGTTGTACTAACTATAGTAGCTGGTGACGATGGTAATGGACTAATTGTAGTTCCCGGTGAGGACAGTGTTGTACTAACTGTAGTACCTGGTGAGGACGGTAATGAACTAACTGTAGTACCTGGTGAGGACAGTGTTGGACTAGCTGTAGTGCCTGGTGGGGACAGTGTTGTGCTAATTGTTGTACCTGGTGAGGACAGTGTTGGACTAACTGTAGTACCTGGTGAGGACAGTATTGTACTAACTGTAGTACCTGGTGAGGACGGTAATGGACTAACTGTAGTACCTGGTGAGGACAGTGTTGGACTAACTGTAGTACCTGGTGGGGATGGTAATGGACTAATTGTAGTACCTGGTGAGGACAGTGTTGGACTAACTGTAGTACCTGGTGAGGACAGTGTTGGCCTAACTGTAGTACCTGGTGGGGATGGTAATGGACTAATTGCAGTACCTGGTGGGAGCAGTGTTGTACTAACTGTAGTACCTGGTGAGGACAGTGTTGTACTAACTGTAGTACCTGGTGGGGACAGTGTTGTACTAACTGTAGTACCTGGTGAGACAGTGTTGTACTAACTGTAGTACCTGGTGAGGACAGTGTTGTACTAACTGTAGTACCTGGTGGGGATGGTAATGGACTAATTGTAGTACCTGGTGGGGGCAGTGTTGTACTAACTGTAGTACCTGGTGGCGACAGTGTTGTATTAACTGTAGTACCTGGTGAGGACGGCAATGGACTAACTGTAGTAGCTGGTGGAGACAGTGTTAGACTAGCTGTAGTACCTGGTGAGGACAGTGTTGGACTAACTATAGTACCTGGTGGGGACGGTAATTGACTAACTGTAGTTCCTGGTGAGGACAGTGTTGGACTAACTATAGTACCTGGTGGGGACGGTAATGGAGTAACTGTAGTACCTGGTGAGGACGGTAATGGACTAACTGCAGTAGCTGGTGGAGACAGTGTTAGACTAACTGTAGTACCTGGTGAGGACAGTGTTGGACTAACTGTAGTACCGGGTGAGGACAGTATTGGACGAACTGTAGTACCTGGTGGGGACGGTAATGGACTAACTGTAGTACCTGATGAGGACAGTGTTGGACTAACTGTAGTACCTGGTGAGGACAGTGTTGGACTAACTGTAGTACCCGGTGAGGACGGTAATGGACTAACTGTAGTAACAAGAGAGGACAGTGTTGGACTAACTGTAGTACCTGGTGGGGACGGTAATGGACTAACTGTAGTACCTGGTGAGAACAGTGTTGGACTAACTGTAGTACTTGGTGAGGATAGTGCTGAACTAACTGCAGTACCTGGTGGGGAAGGTAATGGACTAACTGTAGTACCTGGTGAGGACGGTAATGCACTAACTGTAGTACCTGTTGGGGACAGTGTTGGACTAACTGTAGTACCTGGTGAGGACAGTGTTAGACTAACTATAGTACCGGTGTATAGTTACGGTGGGGATGGTAATGGACTGATTGTAGTACCTGGTGGGGCCAGTGTTGTACTAACTGTAGTTTCTGTAGTGGATGTGGTTGGACCAACTAAAACAAATATAATCAGAGATAAGTGGTAAAGTCACCTGGCGCTCGACTCCATGCAAATACTTTAGTGGGTTTCTTTTAAGCGACTTTTCATGATTGGGCCAATCGCGCATCAAGAGTATGCCCGTTGGCAGGTTGGAGTATGGGCATGACTCTGGAGAAACGGAATATCCAACATTGGAAACCGGGTTAGTTGCTCGCATGCTCTTGCTCAGTCCACAACACACAACACTGAATTCGCGCGAGCGTCATTTGTTGCAATTATAAATAAAGTAGTAGAGTTTGTCGAATATGTATTTGATACATTCTACATTTAAATGAATTGAAAATTAATTATTCATTTTCTTTGGATAAAAGTTACAAAGTGTATAAAAACTGAGCATTGTTATGGATTCAATACTGTCAAGAAATGATGTCGACACATTGCAAGAAAGCTAATGGCAGTAATGAATCATGAGTGATGACTGACTAACAGAGTTTTTATGAATCATGAGTGATGACTGACTAACTTTTAGTATTTTATATTTTTAATATGAAAATACAATAAATTAACCACATATTTTATATTTCCTCAATAAATTCAAAAGGGAGTTGACTTAGAAAACTTACAGTTACTCCAACTTTCCAGCACCATTGTAATAATACTTATATTTCCTATTTGTCAACCTGTCCACTTTTTTGTAAAAAAGGTGTGAAATAAAATGATTTGATTTGGTTTGATTTGATTTTACAATTTAGAATGCTCTAGATTATAACGCATAACCTGTGGATAGTTAACCCAGTTTATTTACTGAATAAATGGTGCCTTGATGAATTGATGTTTAGAAAAAGTACGAAAGTGCTGGGTATCATCACTTTTTCTTACAAACATTTCCATGGTTTTGTGCTATTGAACACACGAGCAGGAGTGCTCTAACGGATCATGCACGGGATTTAGGACCAATTCAATTTCACAACAACATAGTATTCAAATCTGAATAGCAGTTAAAATGAAGTGTACGGCACCTGACTTTGTCTTTTCCACATGAATTATGAATGAGGTTTTTAAATGCATTTAATTTAATAAATTAAGTCATAAAAATTTATGATTGCAATTATTGATCAATGAAAATAACTTATAAATGGAATTAAAAAACTTATTAATAATTCATGAAGAAAACACAAAGAAAAATCATAAGCGTGTCGTATCTGTGTATGTGATACAGATTCAAGTTGATTTACATAAACTTTAACTTTGATTTTCTCGGCTTAGACAACGTTTATTTTTAAAATTACTTCGCCAATGAACTCTTAAGTTGAGTCGTTTTTTAAGTTCGGCTCGAGTTTGTATATCCGATACAACACGGCCGCTCATGTTGTAAATAGTACTTAGAACACAGTCATCGACGTGTTTCTGCTAATTAATGTTGTCATAAGTATTGGATAGACACAGGACGATGTCATCAGGTCGGTAGAAAGGTGGCAGGCGAGGCATGGTATTGGTATGCCCCCATGCATATATATACACACCCTAACCCTATCCCTAACCCTAAACCTAACCTTAACCCCAAACCCTAACCTAACCCTAACCCTAACCCTAATACCTAACCCCTAACCTAATCCCCAATCCTAATACCTAACCCCTAACCCCAACTTATATTGGTGCGCGAAACATGGAACAATAACCGAACAATTTTTGTGGGAAAACTGAATTTAGGTTGCCACAACATGACCCCCTTTGTTGCTGGAAATCTCAGATCCTTAATTAATAAACTTTAGCATCACATTTCTGGCAATCTATATCCTAATTTATTGCAAGATTTAAACTGTACTATAACTGCGGGGAGCCAAGTTGCTTTAACAAATTTAGTCCTAAATATATATATATATATGTTATTTACCGGATTGGAGGTCCGTATAGAGAAATATTTCTCGAGGTCTTAAGACCGAGAGAAATATTTTTCTATACGGACCGACCATATACCGGTAAATAATATTTTTATTTTTTTTAATTCCTCCTCTGGATTTCCCCAATCACCCTTCCCGCACGCGAATGAAGCTGCCAAATAAAACGTCGTTTCTATCAATACTATCGGGAAGACTAATATCTTTTGTGAGATAGTAAAATTCGTTTTCACTGTGTTCTTCATCGTCTGCAGACATTTTAATGTTTTAAAAAGTAGCCTTTAAACTCGTCTTTAAATTTTGAAAAATAAAAACATTGGCTGTACGGCTTTAAATCTCGCGCGGTCCGTACGGGCTCATACGGACCGCTCACGTAGCCAATCAGATTGCAGAAAAGGGTAAAATATGACTTCGGACCGCAAGAAAAAAAGTAAATGATTGTATTTATTGACGATTCAAAATAACTTAATTAAATGGAACTATCCTACAACATTTCAAGTGCTTCTGCTAATATAATATTGTCATAACTATATTGGATTAACATGTCATCAGTTCGGTTGCATGTCTGTAAGGTGGCAGGCGAAGAAGGCTATTGGTAAATTTCCTGATCAAATACTGGGGGCCAACTGAGTCGGAAATATGCCATTATTGGCCTACATTACCCTGCCCTCCTGACATTAGTTCAGGGGCTCTCTCCTCCGCAGAGGCTTTACTTGGCTATGAAGGCGCGAAGCCTCTGCACGATGCCACACCCAATATGGCGGTAAACCGGGGGGGGGGGCGTATACTTATCAAACGCAAAATTCAAGTCAAAATGACTGAGAAAATATCTCTTCACAATATTGCAACAAGCTGACAAAGAGATTATTTACTAGCTCTACGAAATAAGAAAGTGTTATGTTCAGTTTGCGAGAAAACATCCGTGCATTTTTTCTAGACAAGGTCTCCATCTACAGTATAAAACAATGCACGGAAACAACGTATTTAGCGAACAGGTTTTGGTTGCAAGCGAAGAAACTTTTAAATTTATATTTGACATTTGTATTTTAGAAATGTGTCCAAAACCGCATAACAGAAAAAAATGAGTATGTATAGCATACAGAACCATTATTAAATTTATTATCAAGACTGAAAATACAATTCAACTATTTCAACTTCAGCAATATTTATAAACAAACGCAACCTTCAGTCGATTTCGACCCGATTTATTTGGAGGTTCGTATCTTTGGTTCAATATACGCTATGTAGATGAAAATACCACCGTTCGATTCAGTACAAAAATATCTCCTAGTTTCTATCGATAGTTTTAGTGAAATGTCAACACTATAGCGATTTATGACCTTTGAAAGTCAAGCGGGATTTTGTATATTAATATCAAATCACGCAATGTTTACACTTGATAAAAATATAAACTAGGCATACTTTTCGGCGAACATAACTTCGCATCCTTGGGACACATCCTCTTTGTATTACTCTTGTTCGAAAGCGAATTCAAAGCACTACTTAAAGTGTTATTTTTGAGCTTCTATCTTGAAAACTTCATCTTTTATTATGGTATTTCCATTCCTGGTCTGATTGTCAACTAATTCCCGAACATCAGCGTGTGACAGGCGCGTGCGACTGTGCGAGTAAAAACCCGATATTTTGAAAAATTAAAAATAAATATTTCTATTGGCCGTATTCAAAAGAAATTTTCTACACGAAAGCCCTTGCATGAATACAAGGAGTATTTTACTTCTTTGACTGGTGGCGAATTCCGAAGAGTTCAAGAAATATTCAAGTTTTTCTCGATACGAAATACAGAATGTTTGGCCAAGCGGTGAGTAAAATATACGATTGTTTGCTTTGTGTATTAAATGTTAAAAAATAGTACTTTTGACCATCCACAAACATGCAAGCACTAGTTAATGAGGTCAATCAATCATGCATTAAATAATGATTTAATTTTCAAAAAGACGTTTCTTGTTTAGCTTAAAAATATATCACCTTTTGTTTCGATGTTTACACTTTGTCCCACTTTGTCCCACCTTGCGATGCAAATCGTGCAGAGGCTTCGCGCTTCTTCGCGCCTTCCTTCGCCTTTCCCTTTGCCGCCTGCGCTCCTTCGCCCAGCGGCTACACTCGTGTTCCAAGATCCGCCATGTAAAGTGTAGTGAAATGTATCTCATCATAATATTAAATCCTAAGAAAACTAAAGCCTCTGCGGCGGGAGAGGTTCAGGGGCGCAGAAAGTTTCTAAAAGTTGGGGGTCCAGGCTTTGAAGGGCACTTTTCGAATAAAAAAGGGCATCTACCAAAAAAATTTTCCGGAAATATCACATTTTTCCGAAATATGAAAAAATTTGTCCGGATACATGATATTTTTCCCAGAAATGAAAAACATTTTCCGGAAATAACATACATTCAAGTTTTCAAAAGTGATCTTTGGCAACAAAATGCAATCTTAATGACATTTTTCACGCAAGAAAAGGGCACTTTACAGAAGTAGGAAAGAGAAAAAAACACATATAATACGTTTTAGAAACTAATACTTACTTTCGATAGGGCAGCGGTCACCAGTATATCCAACCGGGCATGAGCAAAAGAATGATGTTCCACTATTTGGACAAGTCCCACCATTGCAGCAGGGAGCACTGGCACATGGAGATCCTAAATTAGCTAAATACTATCATAAATGTTAGAATTCATGTTAAATACAGGGGACTGCTAACGAGTTGAGTGCTTTGTCAGATATAAAACGCGAGGTGCAACTGAGCGTTTTATATCTGATAAAACACGACAGTACGAGTGTCTTGATGATGAATAGCTTAAAATACGACTAAAAAAGATGCCGTCTCATTAGAATTCTTTATTTTAAAAAATACTAATTATAGGATGAAGAATTATATCATGGCACGTGTATTTTATCAGATATAAAGTCACACCACGTGACATATTATGTCTGACATGATCTGCCACAAGGTTTATGAATTATTAGTGAGTATTTAAGTACTATTTAAAGCACGCGTAGGAGTGTTTTATCACATATAAAACACGACGCGTAGCGGAGTGTTTTACATGTGATAAAACACGACTACAAGTGCCTTAAATGGCTTCAAAAACGACTCATCTTATACGAGGTCATTGGCGAAGTAATTTTTAAAATAAACTTTGCCTAAACCGAGAAAATCAAAGCTAAACTTTATGTAAATTAACATAATTTTTTATCACATATAAAACCACGACACGCTTATGATTTTTTTGTGTTTTCCTCCTCAATTATTAATGAGTTTTGAAAAATATATATAAATATTATTTATATAAATGAATTAAATTAACTTTTTCAAATAAAGTGGACGGAGCACACCTATCATATTAATACAGAGGCCCACTTATCATCATACCAATCATTATTTTATCCCTAGTATGGTGTTTACTTTATTTTTAAAAAGTTATATGCTATAACTGTGACGTACAGCATTGTTGATATTGATTATCACTCAACCAGTCAATGTCCACATCATGTGAATTTGTACAATCAGCGACATAGGCCTCTATTGCTTGACATAGACAAACTGTGGGATCATCGTCACAGTCACATACATGATATTCACAATCCTCGATATAACCCCCTGAGACTGGATCAATATGGATTGCACAAACATTGAATGGAGGCGTTAACAAAGCAGAACAGTTGGCTGTAGCAGTCGCGTTAGGGTATGTCCAACATGGGTGTGGTACATCTGTTGCATTGTCACAGTCAGGATAAGCTTTCCATGAATTTCCAAAATTTACTGCATTGTCTGCAGTTGTTCCATATGCTGTCAAGAAATCATCTGCAGGATTTTGGTTAAACGTTCCGCACAAACCTGATGTTTTGTTAATATAGCGAGCATACACTGTCACTCTCACACTATGAACATTGTTCCATTCAACTTTTACACCATAATCACTTTCAACCAATGTTACTTGAACTCCAGAGCATGTAATATTGGAAATAGTGACACCTTGAAAAACAGAAGGGAAATAAGATTAACTTTACGGAAAAAGGGAGTTGTTAGTACAACCCAACAATTTAGTTCCGCTCTGCAAGTTCAAAATTATTATCGTTATTCATTTCTTTAGAAATTGATTACTTTCACAGTAAATGATCATGAACATATTTTCTTAGCGGGACTAAATCGTTGGGCTGGCTACGCTACTGATTATTCTATGTCGAATTATCCAACTATTCAACAGCAGAACATATGAATATATTTAATTTCTTGGATCTTTTGCTTATTAAAAATCATAATAGTAATATTACGAATAAGATAAACAACTTTCGTAAGATATTATTCTGTCGTGAATAAGGGAGGACCATTCCAAACACACATTATCATTAATTAAACTAAATTCTTTTTCGAAATAAAGGCTCTCACAAATCAAAGGATATGCCATTGGACTGGACAAATATATTCTACTAAATTTTAAATATATATAACTGGAACGTTAAACATTGAACCACACATCCGGTATGAAAGTAAAAAGAACTTACATCCACAAGATACAGGCAAATCAATTTGCGAATCATTTACCACAACACTTCCCCGCAGTAGTTGAATAGTTACATTTGGAAAAATCACTGTCAGTGATTTTGTGCAGGAAAAGTTTCCATTTCCACAAGGTTCGTTTACTTGTCTTATTTCAAATGTGTTATTTACACTGTCTTTAGCCAGAATATATTCACATCTTCCCATAAACTCATAAGTTGTTCCATCAAATGTCGAGTAGTGTGAATCACCTCTTGCTTGACATGTCGCTTTAACTGTTTGATTTTGTAAAAAAGAAATGAGTAATGAAATAATAAATGGATTAAAGTCGATCCTTCCAAGCTAAATTACAGAATTCCTGGTGTTGACAACACTCGTAGAGATCGAAAAGTAGAGATACACAATTTTGAAAATGTTTAAGATGTTCGGCGTTACGGTGATTTTCTGTTTTGTACAAATACTCATAGGCCATTTGCTGCGTCCCGATATCGTTCACTTTCATTTCACCTGTCTTGGAACTGAAATATTTTTACGGGAAATAGCACTTTCGAACACGCCGAGTCCAACTCCGAAAAGTCCCCCCTCCGTCGACCCGCAGTTTTTTCCCCAACTGTTATAATTTTATCTTCACTAATTTCACCACAAATTTTGTCATTGTTCAACGACACGGATCCATGACGACAAACGATTACGCCACTCAAAAGGACCAATTTCTATTAACCAGTCTTCCTTTTAACAGAAGACCGTTTTGCCCGAACAATTTTGAGTTATGTTATCTTATGTATGCGTGTTGGACGTAAACAACATGTCTTGTCTACAACTTTGAGAAGGTACAGATAACTCAGTTCTAGCGATATGTCTATAAAATCACAAGGACATTAATGCGAAGTCTTTTGGCTATGTCGCTGGCCTGAAAAATAACTCTTTTAACGCTATCAAGGTAATTAAAACAAAAGTAACGGGAAGCCAACGTAACGGCAAAGACAACGCTAAAAAGAGTATTGTCGATTGGTTGCTGGCAGAACACTTACGGCAAGATCAGTCTTAAGTAACCTTAAACTACAATCTTGGCCAAAAGTTGGTAGAACAGCAAAACAAATCCGCAACTTTTAAATATACTTGCGTTTTAATTAAATCATTTTGCACCTTCCCCCGCTCCCCCCCCCCCC